ACTGCAAAGAATTTTTTCACACTTATTCCAGACTTTTCGACCGAATGATTTTTGAAAAGTAGAATATACTACCGCACCCATGTCCAGTAGCATTACTGAAAATGGCCAAAACGCTCGCAGTCTGGATTCGAGCCTAAGGAGTGATATCAAAAGATCATACCCTAAGGACCAATAGATGTACATAGGTCCAAATTCCATAGGCAAAAATAGGACTGCATATAAGAGAAACAGGAAACTAGAGAACCGCTTTCATTTTCTAGACAGCGGCTATTTACAGGGGCACAAGGCCGCATCCACGATATTAACTAGATCCGCCAAGTTGTACGAGAAGTAGCGTTCGATCAAAATTGCTTAAGTCTGCCCAGCGGCCGCCTAACTACTGACACTAAACAAACTTCCGACGGCAAATGGCCAATTTCACCAAACAGTTAACTATCGAAAGTGGAATCAAAATCTTATTGCATGCAATAACTATCAAGTCCAATGGCTTTCCTTGCAAGTTTACTCACTCAATGCTACTTTGATGCAAGTGCACATCTGTCTGCGGCCTGAAGGTTAATGTGTTTACAAAGTTTCACTTGCCGGTAATTACATACATATATCTACTATGTACTATATATGTATGTGAGCACCTTAGTTTCTGGCCTTGTCGGCAACTTTCAGCAATTTACTATTCTATACAGGTATACATGTGTACATATATATACCTATGCATTTATGTACATACATATGTACTTATGTATGTTGGTAAATATGTGTGCAGCATGGCTACAAATATGCTATTGGAAAATTTTATTTACCTATTAAAGTTATACAACTACAACTAGACTACATACATATTTGTTGCTTATGGCAGTTAGTTATTGTTCTTACCTGCGCTTTGGTCGGATGTGCACCGCCTTGAAATTCAATCGTACCATATGCGTCGGTGGGTTGTGCTCGTGTATGCTTCTGTGGCAGCCAAGCGTCACCGGGTGAACCACTTTCGATGCCCGGTATAGTTTGATGCGTTTGACGTGCTTGACCGCAACAACATCTGCAAAAAGAAAATGAAAAAAGTTATAAATAGATTTATGAGAAATTGCCGAAGCAAATTTGTTATACAAAGTTAGGCAAAGAAGGAGTATGTATGTATGTATACACATTTGTAAATATACTTGTTGTGGTGTGCATCTTGAGTTCAGTTTATCATTTTATTTATACTCGTAACTGTTGTTAATCCTATGATATTGTTATCGAGCCAGATTTTGTTTTTTTTTTTTGACTGAGTTACTTCCTGTCGTGTCTTGGATACCAATGAGATTTTACGAGATTTAAGAAAAGTGATAGCAATATTTAGGTTTAGTAACAAACTCCATTTCTTATCAACAAAAATCAACAACGGGGACTTTTAAATTGTAAAGTTTCCTGCCTTTTAGATGAGGAGGCAAGAAGGTAATATTGGTGATGACCAGGGAACGGATTTTATGGAAATTGCCTTTTTTCTGCTAAAGATATAGAGTATATGTATTCGATTAAGAATGTCCACGATTTAGCTTTCCCTGATTCCATATATACACATTTTATGTTGCCTCTTTTTGCCTTTTTTAAGATATTTGCCTTTTTTTGCCTTATCTACCTTTGAAAAAGCGATTATAGCATTTACATTTTTTTTTTAAGATTAAAAAATATACACATTGCCCATGCGGCTTATAGAAGCGCAGGGACCTCTTGCCAAATTGGTTTTGGAAAAATTCAAAGCCGTTTTCTCAGCTAACGTAGGCTTGGAGACAATAAGGAGTGTGCATAAAATTGTAAAGGGCGAGGAAAACGCCCTTATTCCTGATAATATGAACGTTTGAAACGTTCCATATTTAAACTGGGCTCCACTTGTATTAACTTACGTCGTGCGCGCATTTAGTACATTCAAGGCTTTTCTTCGCGAAAATCGAATGAAAATGCTGCCAGAAAACTTCAAAAAGCATCTTGTGGTTCAATGTTACTACAACTATACAGATTAAAATTTTATGAGTTAGAAACACGAAAGGATAAAATAGTCAAAGATTCAAAGTACACATTTTTCATTTAATGAAACTACTTCATAGTTTATCTCTATTTACTTGTAACATTATAAACATTTCTAAAATAAATGTATTTTTTGATTGTTCTTCGTATTTTCTGACTTTTTTTATACCTTTCATGAGCATGAAATGGTATTATAACTTTGGTCCGATGTTTGTAAGTACCAGAATAAAAAGAGATAGACCCATTAAAATGTATACTTATATGATCAGAACGTCGAGCTGAGTCGATTTAGCCATGTCCGTCTGTCCGTCTGTTTGTATGCAATCTAGTCTCTCAGTTTTCGAGATATCCGGATAAAATTTGGTAGGTGGGTGTATTTTTATAATGCATTAATCATTTGTCGGAAGCGGAAGAATCGGGCCACTATAACATATAGCTCCCATACAACTGATTGTTCAGATATGAGATTTTTCGTTATAACTTATCCATTTATGCAGCTAGGAACATGAAATTTTGCAGTACTTGCACCTATTATCAACAGAATACTTACAGTGGAAATTACAAAGATCGGGTCACTATAACATATATGTATCTTTCATACATCTGATTGCTCAGATATGGGATTTTATTGTAAAACTCCTTTATTTGAACAGCTAAAACCGATAAATTTCGTAAGATATTTTATAAATAATAATACAAAGTCTACTGAGAAAATCGTCAAAATCTATGCTGTATAAGCTTTATCTCCTATACCACTGATTGTTCAGATACCAGTTTTTGCGATATATCTCCTTTATGTAGGAAACTAAACCCAATAAATTGTGTTACCGTTTTACATACCGATCACATAGCAGTGAAAATCACTTAGATTGGGGCTAATATAAGGTATATCTTCCATACCTCTGATTGTTCAGATGCTATTTTTTTATATAGGTATGTAACTCCTCTATCGATGTATGCAGATGTATTCAAAAGCAGTAATCTGTCAAAGTAAAATTTGCAGATGTTCATGAAAGGTATGAAGCCTTCGGCATATTTAGCCGAAGACAGCGCTGCTCTTACTTGTTAGTGCCTTATTTTGTTTTTTTGCAATACCTAGTGCCATTTCCTGCCTTTTTCGCTGTTTTATTTTGCCTTTTCCAGCCTATTTCGTTATTTTATTTTGCCTTTTCTATAGGTTTTTAGGTCCTAAAAATCCGTTCCCTGGTGATGACCAAACGCTATTTGAGTCACTTATTTACTAATGAACAAGCTTTTGAAAAATTATTAGTAGAACCCTCTTAATTGGGCCCCGTAAACAATTAAACATTAGACTTCGCTAAGTTGGGTCGCCAAAGATAGTTCATAATAATAATCAATTTAAAAAGGCGTGACTTTTTTTTGCTTTTCAGATTCACGACTGTTTTTTTGTTTGGCGCTGCAACAGATTTACGACTAAGGTAGACTAACAAAAAATTATAGAATAACTACAAAGAAGAGATAAAGCAGTTTAGAAACGTTTAACAGGTAAGGTTAGGTTCATGTGGATGCCCCAAACAGCAGTAGGCACCCTGAAATTGTGCATATGGAAACTGTGCATACGAAATAATGCAAATGACAGAAACCGAAATAGTGCATATACGCACAATTTCGACTCAAAACCGAAATAACGCATATGAGAATAAAACGAAGTAATGCATATGATTGCTACTCGTTTCGTTCTAATTTTTCATTTTGCTCAGAGTTGGCTCCGGCACGGTGGTAAAAGATTTTTATTAAATGAGAACGTTAACTGGAAAACAAGCAAATTTTTCAAAGTCAAAAAAGAGCACATATCCAAATACATAAACATATGTATCTCGTTAAGGTATGAAAAGTTTTTATACCGGCGGAGCAGATTTTTCATTTCCTACAAATTGTTCAAATAAAGACAATGCCACCTTGCCATTGCAGTTCTATTCAAACAATTATTGAACGATAATTGCATGAAATATTTAAACAATATGTCATGTAACCTGTAGAAAAATACAATCTAACATTGTCATATACTGACTTTTTCTGGGATGTATACATATGTACATGCACACATAGCTCATTTACACTAATAAAAAAATAAATTTTTGAGCAAATTATGCTGAATTACTCTTTATATCAATCTTTATATTTGGTGAAAATTTCGTGCTAAAATCTTATGTTGTTCCCCCGTAAGAAGACAATATGCATATATTTTTTCTACATTTTGGGAGCAAATTTTAAACTTTAAACGCCTCTCCTGAAAAATCTCGTTTTTAAAGTTGTGTCACTTTTTTTCGTAAATAGGCGATATACATATATGTATATGCATACATATACATACTTACTTATATATACATACAAACAGTTGTCCACAAAATAATAGGAGTGGGATATTTTAACCTGTTTTGGCTATTTGTCTTTAGTTTATTTAATGTTTCGTATTTTTTTGTAAAAGCCTAGCTGGTAATACAACAAACACCATATAAATTTACATTTTCAAGTTTGTACAAAAATTATAAAAATTCTGCAAATTTTCACCAAAATTTCAAACTATTTAACCAGAATCTTTAGAAAATATTTTGGTATGCAGTTTTGTAGCCCATTCAATTCTAGTCTGAAGAAGTGC